CTACTAGGAGCAAGGACACTACTAGGGGCTCCTGGCCTTACTACTTACTACTAGTAAACAAGAAGCTACTAGCAGGAAACCTACGTTTCGTTTAGTTTCGCTTAGTTTCGCATTTCGTTTCGCGTTTCGTTTCGCGTTTCGGTTCGCGTTTCGTTTCGTTTCGTTTCGCGTTCGTTCCAGCTGCCTCTCTGCTGCCAACCTTGTATGACGCTTCCATCGCCGACAATGCAGCGCTGCTGGGCAGTCCGATTGCAGCACGCCTCCACGTGTCGTATCTCTCTCAGTACACACATGCAGACACATGCAGACACCCACACATGCAGACACCCACGCACTGCCTCAACTTACACGAACACACACATACACAGACTCACATACACACGGACATAGACACACACACACACAGAAACCCACACACTACCTCAACTCCCTCGACTTAACACTTCACACTGCACACTTAACAGATAACTCACACTCTGACATCCTACGTGATGAAAAATGCATTCGGGCCACTCGTCGTCTAGTGCACGTGGTAATGTCGCACCCCCTCGTCTCGGACGTCCAGGTCTCGGACTCTCGGACATTGGATGTCCCGAACGGTGGGCGTTTCGGACATGCTGCTATTCCGTTTGCGCAGCCTGAGCGAGTGTGGCAATAGCTCATACTCCACTCAGACACGCCAGTCTCCGACATTGGATGGGACAGTGAGGTTGTGGACGTGCAGGGCAGCCAGGGCAAAGGGAGTGTGTGATTGGACGTGTCAGACACGACGTTTCCGAGATTGCAAGGGGAGTAGTTTTCCAAGTGGGGGGAGTGGTTGACGCCCCCTTACTTTGCACCTGTGCGCGCTTTCACGTTGGGCCTTGCGCCGACGTGGTCGTATCGTTGGGGGCTTTATTCGCAGGGTAGTTTGCAATAAAAACAACGCTTTTTCAATGCAAGCAAACGGCATTGTTTTCCGGCTTTATTTTTGCCAACGATCCGTGCCAACCTTCCAATTTACATGGGCCCCTTCCATGCCATGTTTTGATGACCCACAGTCCGTTCTCGCCACCTGAGGCACCCAATGGCTCCCTGTGCACAATGGCCCGGCCGTAGAGCCAACGGAGTCTGCCACTGTGCTGCCGGTTTTCCCACTGAGCTCAGTTTATTGGCCAGGTTCCGAAGCAACGTTGCAAATCATTGACCCAGCTTACAGGACTGACCTGTCAATGCTTGCCCTCCAGAATTAAAAACGCCGATTCGATTTTTTTTGCACAGACGGTTGCCAAAAAACGTACCCATAAACTTTGGAACAAACAATTGCGAGGAGGGTTGTTCAATTTGTGCGTGCAAAGCAAGAGGGTTTGCTTGTTTGGGTTGGCCCAGGGTGTGAGGAACGTGCGGAATTGCTTCGGCACGCGGACCATGTTTGCACCAAAACTTGGCAATTTGTACACATGTAAGTGCATGTCGCTCCAGCCAAAAACCTCGCAGTTCCTCCTGACACGTGTTTTGGTGCTACTGTGCCCAGTTTTCAACAGAATTGGCAACGACACCACCAGCGACACCACCAGCAGCAGCAACAGCAACTAACTAGTTGTGGCGAGCTGTCAGGGCAACTCTGATTTCCTGCTCGGCGTTGCCCAGTGCAGGTAAGTAATGTCACCACCGCTGCAGACAGTGCACGTTGTTTTCACACAAAGGAAAAACATTTTAAATCCCCCATCAGGCGGACAACCAATACAGACGTTAGAGTTTCAGCAGTTGGAGTGAAAACATTGACCAAAGTGCCCTCCCAAACAAAAAACACATTCCGGGATGCAAGCGGGTGGCAGCCTCTGAGCAAGCAGTGTCCAACGCCATTTGAATGACTGACCTTCGAAAGTGTCAGAGTCAGAGTCCAAAAGGTGAGTACAAGGTTTTCCCAAGAGTCACCCAGGCATAGAGTTTTTTCCCCAACCATGAGACCTGTTGCAGGAAGATGTACGATGACATTTTGCTCTCTGGGTCGCGGCGGTTTGTGGTCGCTTTCACTCGTTCTCTCCCTGGCGGGCGAGTCCGTTATGCGAAGATGCCTGAGGGTGACCGGAGGCTTTTCTCAGTGGGCTGCTGGGACGGCGCGCAGTGCAGGTGAGAACCATGCCATGATGCAAATCAAAAAATGACCATAAAAACATTCGGCAAAGAGTTGTTTCGTTGCCCAGCAACGGGCCGGTTTCGAGGTGGTGGTCATCATGGGCTCATGAACGGTCACGTGCAAGAACCGGATTGTGTGTTTGAGGTTCTTTACTGTACTTGACAGAGCTTGAAGAGGTCAGCGCGCAGACCGGCGGCCATGTGACGCTGGGTGAAAAGAACAACGCTGAAGGCTGCTGTTTCTGCGGAAGGGTGGATGTGACCACCGGGCACTCCAGCAACACCGGGATCGTTTCCATTGTGCGTTCCATTGCTTGGTGTTTGACCGTACACATTCACCAAACATTTCGGTTCCACATCATGACACCAGGTCCCTCCTTTCTCTCTTCGTCGCTTCGCTCGGTGGCAGTGTCTTCGGCGGCTCGGTCGAGTGGCCCAGGAAGTACATTGCGAAACATGAAGTGCAGGGGCGTGTGCAGCTCCAACGCTTGTTGAACCCCTCGGCCCTCTTCGAGACGGATGCCAAGGGAAATAAGGTGAACTACTTGAGAGCTGAGGCCTCGCGGTTGACACTTCTTGGGAGGAACGCTTGGATGGTCGACCGGTGTACTGCAAACATATTTGTCTCTCCCACCCTCCTCCTCCTCCTCCCTCCAGCTGTGTGCGGTGGAATGTTGATCAACAGATGACAGAGCACAGCGTTGTGCATTGTGGTGCGCTCATTTCATGCAAGTGAATCATGGAAAACAAGGCGAACCGGTGAACCACGCATATTTGTTGGAACATAGTGGAACACATGCATTTCATGCAGTCTTTTGCCGCTTCCAGCCTTCAATTTTAATTTGTAGGGACGTTGAATGTGGTTTGCCTCTTTCATTTGTATCGCCCAAGCGCTAGGTGCAGCTCCTGCCCGAGCCACCATTACCAGCGAACGACGTGCCGAGCGCTGAGACTTGGAGAGCGGAGTTGCTGGAGACTTGGCAGCAGCTGCAGGGCTTAGCGGTAAGCTTCGGGGAACCGCACTTGGCAGAGAGCTTCTTCACCGAGGCTGGAGGAACAGACGTTGGGGACCGACCTGTTGCGACCGTTCGGGTTTGCCGTAGGATCGCTGCGGGGAGAAGACCAGGTTCTGCAGAATGGCCTGTTGTTCATTCCGTGCCGTGCTTGGGTCCAAGTCATTGCCCCGCGACCGCAAGCAGGCCACCAAACATTCAGGCAGAGTGGACAGTGACAAAAACAAGGTTTTTTGATGTTAAAAGATCCACGGTTGCTGAAACTCTCGCATCTCCAGGTGGCGCCTCGCATCTCCAGTGGGATCTTGGCAGCTGCATGGCAGCAGTTGCAGGTGCAGACCCAGATGGTGCGGAAACAACGAAGGGCCATGGAGGAAGTCCGGAAGATCATGGAGGTGTGGCAAATGTCACCAGAGTTCTGTGCAATTGTTGGGGTCAGGAAGTTCCAACAAATCCTTTGAGTTTTGTTTGATTTGAATCACTGCCTGGTTTGACGGACGGTGCAGGAGGGTACCATGTCTCAAGATGAGGCCTTCGCGCAGGTCCTGGCCCAGCTGCTGGGAGGATCTCAGTCGGTGTGATGAGGTGATTGTATTGCACTTGGCATCTGGTAACGGCCAGGATATGTCTTAACAGGCTTGGGGCAGACCTGCCGCAACGCAGTAGGTTCAGCAAATTTGTTCCTGGATGTGTGTCAGCCCCTTTCGAATAGACAGCGTGTGCCAGCCTGGAGCGAGTCTTCAGTTGGTGTTGACACGATGGGAGTGCAAAAGGCAACAGTCTACTGGTAGAAAACCAGTGGGAACCACCAACCCCAACCGCCCTTGAAGTTCTCGATATCAGTGACCCCCTCTCTCTCTCTCTCTCTCGCTCTCGCTAATCACTTTCGACATGCAGCACTGCCGCTGAACTTGACGAAGCATTGCGGACCTGGCGGCCGCACCTGGGCCCAGCCCAGGTCCAGGCCGACAGATTTGGATTGGGACTTCTGGGAGCAGCTCTTGCCGCTGCTGGCTGCAGAGCCGGAGCAGCGTGGGCCCATGCTGCAGGAGCTGGTGCGCGATGAGTTGAAATTGTCCAAGGCGGAGGGTCAGTTCGGGGACCTGTGAAGTTTGGGGAGGTGAGAAGGAATGGGTCTCTTGGCGCTTTTGATTGTGCATTCAGAGCTTGTGTGCCAATTGCGCCTTTCAGTGAAAGGGTGAAGATTCTCCTAGGAATGATTTTAAATTGGGACGTGAGAAATCATCCGCAATGAGCTTGAAGTAGGACTTTCGAATTAATCCCCGGTTGAACCCGTATTGTAGACTTGTCTATAGCAAACCTGTAGGCGTTTGCCTCTTGTCCTGCAGTTTTGTACACATTCCGGTCCCGGGCTCGTCGACGCCGAGCTCGGCCCAGTTCGACGGGATTTGGTGCGGTGTGCAGGCGCGCCTTTCATTGAAGGAGGCACTGGAGTAAGCTGCTGGGCTGGAGCGATTCCGTGTGCCGGAAGAAGCACTGGAAAGAGTCTTAAGAAAGGCACCAACTATTTTGCTTTCAGGTGTCAGTCTGGGAGAGGGCATGGCACGGGCAAAGCTTCTAGCCGCATGGGCCCTCAATGGGTTGGAAACCTGGGTCCCAAAACCCTGGGTCGTGCTTGGAACTTGGGTTTCTTGCCGCAAGATGCAGAGAGGGATGCCCAAAGCGCCGTTCTGTATGTTTTTGTTTTGCAGGCAAGTTGTGATCCAACCCTGCTTGTAGCCGGAACAACGATTGCGTCATAGGTCTTTGCAGTTTCCAGTGCATTTTCAGTGCAAAGTTTGTATCAAGGCCGTTACGGCTCAAAAAATGCAGACGTTCCACACCGAGTGACCGCGGATTTTCCGCCACATGGGCAGCCTGTCTACGATTGACAAGGATTTTGTCACGGAACGCTTGCTATACCTCGCTCGTGAAACTGCTCACGATGCTCCAGAGGTGAGCGTGGTGTTGTTGGCACTTGCTGTACCACCCGAGGCGTTGCCCAGCAATGATGTCAACCATCAAAGGGTACCTCATGCAGTAGTCAGTAGTCCCACAGATTCAGTGGGATTTGGCCGACGAGATAGAGGAAAAAGAAGGCCTGCTTGAAGGAACTCGTCTGACGATTTTTGTTGCTCAGCTGAGTGACCAATGTCTAGTTTTCACCCAGGGCCAAGTAATGTCTCATTCTTGGTCGGTGGAGGGTCAAACAGTCCTTCCACAGTGGTCCAAGCAGCTTGGCATCAGTAACGACCACTGTGAGGAACCTCCGAAAGAACACTCTTTTCTGAACCAGCCTGGCCGAGCCAGGCTGGCCATTTTGCACTGGTTTGCCACCGATTTCGTACAATCGTGGTTACTGGACCCACTCTTTAGAATGGTCTGATGATTTTTAACTCCCGAAGAGGGAGGACACTGTTGTCCGGGAAAATCGCAATGCAACGCTCGAAATGGAGAACGCTCGATCCACAAGTCACCACCAGTGGGATGACTACAGCAGAGCACACAACTTGCTTGAGGGCAACGGGAGGATATATACCGTATGCTTGTTTTTTTGTTCAGTCTGCGGTGGTGTGTGGCGCAGTCATTCGGTCCCAGAGAGTCTCATGAAGGATGCATGCTTCAAGTCAATAATGCCAATGAAGGTCCGCACCCTCCTCTAGGCATTGCACAATGCGCAGCTGAGGCCAGCTTCAAGTGGCCGCCCATGTGAGCTCACTCAGGCAAATGCCTGGCGTCATTTGTACATAGACCTAGATGATGTTGATGCAGCAGAAGGCATCGAATTGCTGCGGGTGACGGTGGTAGGTAGGTCATTTTAGGGTGCCCCCAAACCAATCAATGTAGATTAACACTGCAGGTGAAAGGGTGCACAGAAAAACTGTGCTTGAGGGGCAACCTCATCGCCGGAGGGATTGAAGATGATTTCCACATGTTGAGCTGTGGTATCCGTGGGGAGGAAAAACACTGCGAGAGGCTGTTTTTGCCGGAGTCATGCCTGCAGCAGAGCCATGCTTGTAGGACAGGTGTGTGAGAGTCAGATTTAGCAAAGATTGAGAGAAGGGAAACATCCAGGCAGGTGTTTCCTTTCTGGTAGGCCAGCTGCGAGTTCCAACTCACATGACATTTCTTGGGACGGCTTGGGGGTCCAATGGCTCCAATGCCTTGTGAATGAAGCTGCGCCGCGTTCATGTGGCTCAAGCTTTGTTTATCGAATTCGAATCAGCTACGGCATGCCTTAGTTTTTTCTCAGCCGCATGAACGCTTGCCGTTTCTGGTGGTTACTTTCAATTTCACAGCCCAACCTCAGCCACGCTATAAGACTTTCACGTTTGTGTTAGACAGCCTGGGACTGCCGGGCACTATGAAGGAAGGATGGACGGACATGGGCCAACCACAAGAGGGGCCTTTAATGCCGCAGGCAGGGCGGACATGTCGCAACTCTCTATTTGGCACCGTGTCGCACCAGAACTTCCTGTTAAGTCCTGTGGGTCGGACCGCGATAGGTCTTACCTGTAGAGGCACCACTTCTCCTGGAAGTCTTGCGTCTCTATTTTCTACGGATGATCTATGCCGGAACCCTCTTTTGGGGGGGTGCTTGATGGGCTTTGGCAGATCTATTGTTCCCAGGAACTGCCACCTGCACCAGCTCCCAGCCTCAGTCGTCGGCTCAGTGTCTAGAAAGCCCCAGAGGAGTGAGAACCTGTCTGAGTCACTCTTCATGATGGGCGGTGCCGAGGCAAAGGCAAGGGCAAAGGCAAAGGCAAGGGCAAGGTCAGAAAAGTGCGGATCTCAGCTGCGATAGCAATGCTGTGCCAAGTTGTACGTTACAAGTGCGGGCGGTCATTCAAGCGAGATTCCCTCCCTTGTCTCATGTTGCCCAAATGGCCCGAGCTACCAGAAGAGTTCGGTTTGACTTCATTTATCTATGTCCAATCTTCCGCTCTCCAGTGCCTTAGCTCACCCTGAGGCCAAGCCGGTGCGGCCTTTGGTGGTGTGAGGCCCAGGTTCATGGTAGTTCCTTCCATCGTGTCTTCAACTGTCCTCACGAGCGGGCATGCCCGAAACACAGACTTCCATGATCGCCCAACAAGAAGCTACTAGGGGCTGCTGGCATCGCTACGAACGGAGCGATCGATCTCTACGAACGGGGCTCCTGGCCGTAAGGAACGAGGTTCGCTACTACGGACCTTCCCTTCAACATGATCTCTCCCCGTTTCACACCGATCACCGATGGTGCGGCTCTGAGGTCTCGCCGGGCTTCTTCGGCTCCGAGGTGCGGCGTTTGGTGCTGCGCGCCTTCACCGAAGAGCGCCTTGGTACTCCGATGCTGGGGGGGGTCCGGACCCGACCCCGCAAAACTCCGGTCTTTCTACGAAGGACAAGGAGAGTTTCAGCTGTTTTGGTTGGTGGGCTTTTTCTTCACGGCACGAAAACCAAGGGTTGGAGCAACTGAAATATGGTGAGAAGGGCTGGCACGCTTCTAGAACAGGTGCATTGTTTGTTGGGAGGTATGGCTCCGCCTCCGAGCGGCCCAGGCCAGAGGAGGACCCTCTGACGGTGCCACAGGCACTGTATGCTGCGACCATGCGATCGATGCCAGGCAGCCCCAGGTTTGACCGGTGCATGCAGATTGACGAAGTTGGAGAAGTTCAGAAGGTGGTGATCGATTTGGTTTGGCCTTCACAGGTTTTCGCGTGGTGGTCAGACAAACTGCAGAGGTAGCTGTCATGCCATTTCATGCCATTTCCATGATTTCCTTCGGCCTACTCTCCTTCTGCAAGTGGATAGACCCTTGCTCTTTCTGGGAGTGACTGGTTGGCTTCCATTGTAGGAACCTCCTTTGGCAGAAAGCGCAAATCATTAATCATTCTATCCGGACCCACTTGTACGACCACCCTGACCTGCCTGCCACTTATGATAGGTGAGCCACAGTTGTCTAGAGAACCAGGTTTGAGCTGCCCACGGACGAGTCCGTTTTAAAAACAACAGCTCCTCGAGCATGCAAAGAACTTTAGTCCTAATAAACCGGTCGCTTACTTGGTTGTTTGCAGGGACAGTTGCCAACTGAACTCCGTCCGCACCTGGGTTTCATGTTGAGCCCGTCAATGCCGAGTCCGTATATCTATGAGCCAAAGGGCTCCTCGTTTGACGCAGGGGTGCCCAGCGGCAGTTGTGGTTGAGAGCGGGCTGATTGAATTCAGAGACGTTTCCGTCAATGAGCAGCACTTGCTTCGCACCCCGGCCTAGGTTGCCAACAAAGCAGATTGCAAGCCGTTTCCCGAACCACACTGGCTTGATCTTGCTGTTGAAGAAAGATATCTACCTCACGTGGAGAATGCTCATCGATGTCCCACTCTTGTGCAATGCGCGAGCTCAGGTGATGCCGATTCTGCCGGTGTCTACCCTTTTCAGCGACGATGAGCTAGATGAGCTGCAGTCCATGAGCTTGAAGGAATCTGGAGGGCTGGGGCGAGCTTCAAAAAAAACGAAACCCTGCAGCCTGAAGCCAATCATCTCACGCCAAGATCTCCACATTGTTTGTTTGCCACTAGATTGCTTGCACATTGCTCCCCCGCTTGCCTACAGTGCTAAAAACAGGGTGTGGTTTGAGAAATGCTTTGATCACCCAGCGTCTGAGACACAAGTATGGATTGGTATAACGGTATAAACCTATCAGAAAGTGTTTGTCCACAGGTATTTAGGCCTACCCTCATGGTCCGTCCTTGTGCTGCTTGGACCCCATGAGTCCGAGGGGTTTGCGCTGAGGCTGAAGCGAAAGAAGCGCAAAGACCCGCGCCAGACCATTGTCTCGGTGCCGTCCATCCGCTTGATGCCAGGCCCCGGCACCCGTCCATCCGCAGGATTCCGAGAGGAGAAAAGTGTGTTTTACTGGTAGCACTGGTAGCAGTGATCGATGGAAATCCGGGGTCCCTTGTCCACGGCCTCTGGCAGCTTGAGCCATTGAAAACGCGGCGATGCGTGTTCAACACTGGAGGCTTGGCGCATCCGTTGACCTTCAACGAGGAACAGATGCTTCGGCTCTTCGTGACGGATCCAAGATCCATGGCCATGGACCTCAGGTCAGTTGTGAAGAATGAGCGGGATGGTGCTTCTACAAGCCAGTGGGTTTGGGATGGTTTTGGTGTCCACATGCCTTTGTTAGGAGTGTTAAGCATAGACATCCCACCCAACGATCTTCGAACTCGATCCACGAAGTCCCACAGCAGTGACGGTTCTGATGGCCTAGGCCTACAACCTTTCCAACACGCAACGCAGCCGTGTGCCGTTGACCGTGGAGCAGTGGGAAACCTCAGGTGGTTTGCTTGGCTCCATGATGCAGTCGGTGACCTGATCAGTGACCAGGAGAGATATATGAACAAGTCGGGCCACTCGCCAAGGGCAGTCCCCAGCGGCATCAGTGCATCGAAAAGAAGGAAAGAAGGACCAATGTTTGGCCACCAAAGGTAAAGAAGAAGCTACTAGGAGCAAAGGGCATCGCTACTAGGAGCAAGGACGCTACTAGGGGCTCCTGGCCTTACTACTAGGAGCGATCGGACGCTACTAGGAGCAAGGATTTTTGCTCATCGATGTGGCACTGTTGAAACGCTGTTTCCCCATCGACATGTCGCTGCACTGTGCGCCTTGGCGCACTGAGGTGCGAAATGGCGCACCGGATCATCGAATGGTCCTCAGTGGAAACCGAGCGCGCCAACGGGTGGGTTTCAAAGGACGCCGTTGGCGCCCAACGCCCGGTGTGGATGACGGCCAGATATTCATACACTCGCTTTTGAAAATGGACGGCCCAAATCAGAGTAGGGTGCTAACAGTTGCAATTCACAACTCACACCACCTTCCGCCAAACATCAATCAGAAACCGCCCCAAGACAGCACCTACTACCCAGAGAACGCGAAACAGGATTCAACCAACCCAAAAATTTCTCACCCACCCGTTCTTGCCTCATCCCACCTCAAGTCCCAATACCTGATCGACCTGTTTTGGGTCTGCCCAGTTGGAGCGGCACGAAGTGCTGCGGAGCGCCTTTAGCCTGGAGGACCCCAACAACCCCACACGCAAGGCGTGGCGGGTGCTGCGGTTGGGAGGGGAGATGTGACCCGATTTGGACCGTTTCATGTGACCCGCCACGACTCGAAGACGAAACGTTCACGTGTGACGTGTGACGTGCGCTTTCAGGTGATGAGACATCACCTGGGAGGTGGGGAATCCGAGGGCGAGATGGGGTGGAGATGCCCACCAGGAGCTTTAGGACTTCGGGTGTGCACGTTGCAACAGCGGTATCTCCCATCATTAATCGGTTCTGGGTCATCCACACTGTGAGAGTGTACGTGAGAGAGTTCAAACCTGCTGCATCCTGAAGGGGTGACCAGAGATCCTTCTCAAGTGCTTTCAGCGACTTTCCAATATCCAACTCAACCTCCCGACCCTTTTATATAACTTGCAGCTGGTGCTCGAAGAGTAACCCAAAAGCCCACTAAAGGGAATTGTGGACCATCATCGGTCATAGAGCATATAGGGAGACATTGCTCAGATCCAAGAAATATATCGAAGGCGTGTTTCCCTACGTATTTAGACTCAAAGCGCGATTGTCGATGAACTCCCAACAGTTTGGCCCAGAAGAACCCCTCTTCGACCACCAGGACTCCTGGAGAAACGATCGGTCAAATTCGTGGCCCAGTTTTGCCACCAAACCATTCAAAACAATTCAAAACAATCACTCACATATCAATCACATATTAGATTTGAAGATATCTGCACCAACCACATCATCCAGCCCGGATGCGCCCTGCGCCGCCACCCGAGGCTTCTATGCCTTGGCGCTGCCCGACGAGGGCAGTGCGCAGGCGATCGCGGCGATGGACTACGCCACGCCACATCGGCCCGCGGACCTGGACGGGGCGCCACACGGGGCGACGGCAGTGGGGCCACCTGCCCGGTTGGATGTCCGGGGCAGTGGAGCCTTGATTCAGAGGGTTCTGGTGGGTAAAAAAAGGAGTAGTGGGACCAGAGTAGCACGTCTATGCTTATGCAACCTAAAATTAGTTGAAGTGCTCCTGGACTTCCATTCATTTTGCAAGCTGTCCGGACACAATGCGTCACTATTGATGCAGGATCGACAGTGACATGTTGAAATCAGACGTGCATGCATGGATGAGCCCTCCGTCTGGCCCCAGTTGGATTCATGATAATCGGCAGCCATTCTCCTGTAAACCCTCATGCACTTCCAACCCGGAGACGACTCTTTTCATTCCAAGATTCCAAGACCTCTCTGCAAATCTGTGGCATTTATCATGCCCATGTCCATGCCCGGGACTGGTTTGAACCTCCCGATGCACCGGGACCGATGGAGCCTGGTGCGGTCGCTCCGCGCCCTCCGCCTCGGTGTCACGTGGACGCGAGCTTGCCGATGTCCAAGCTTCACCGGCGCAGTGGGCCGCGGCGGCGCCGGGGCAGACGGCCGAAGCACGTGGCGGTCTGCGCACCAGGCGTGGTCAATGGAAACATTGAGAGACCTGGAGGTGATGAGGAGTCCTTTTTGGTTTTCACAATCTTTCTGAGACTTTCAGATTGGGGGGAAGGCCGCACTGAGTGTGTAGAGGCAGACGGCAAGATGACCTCTATTTTTGGGAAGATGTGTGGAATGTTCATGTTATATAGCTTCTTAGTAGAGCTAGGAACCTGAAGCAAGGGCACTTGGCTTTAACCGTCAAATCTCCACCTGTCGCTAGGAGTCGGATTCTGATTCGTCGATGTTCACCTTGGTTTTGCTTCGTCGGTGGTTCCATAAGCTGAAATTCACACTCAAACAATGTTACAACACAACACCCTGGGAAGGAGCACGCATTCCTTTTTTGGGGAGGGTGAACATTCAGGGACGCACATGTTCATGATGTTTGTCTAGCGGGACCACCGAGGAGAGGAGACCGTGGAAGAAGGCGTCAGCGAGACTCTCTATGCCTTGGGCACCGCATGTGTGCCGGGCGCCTTTGACAAGGCCCGCCTTGCTGAGCTTCGAGACTCCTTCCTGGAGGCTTTGCTGTGTCAGGGGGTTTTGGAAGAAAAACGATGTCGGTTGTGACAGGTGTTGGCTTCTCCACATAGAGGACCCCGAAGTTAGACTATAGAGGTGAGGTTGCGAGATGAGGTGCTGTCTTTCCCTACTGGACTGGATTGGGAAGCCTTTGCTGCTTGAGTGAGGTGTGTGTGTGTGTGCGCACCAGCATCAACATGAACCATCAACAACAATGACAAGAAGACCAAGAACGAGAGGAATGATGTCAACAGCCTGGCAACATTTCGGAACCACCGCAATCAAACGACAGCGCAACAGCAACCGTCAACCGCAGGCCAGCCATCAGCTGTGACTTGTTTGTATCACCCTCCCTCGACCGAGCTGACAAGCCCTCCACCACTTAGGACCTGTCGGAGGCCGACGCCGAGACCTTCGTCTTCGGCGAGCTTCGGGGCCACCGTCGCGCCGTGCATTTGCCGTTCCGGGAGCCCTTCAGTCGGCTGCCATTGCTGGGCGAAGATGGTGAGTTGCTGGAGGTATTGGCCGAATATTTGGGAGAGGAGCCTTGCTGGAAAATCTTAGAAGTGAGAACTTGATGGGCCGGGCGTGTTGCTCAAAAGTTATTTTCGCTAAATAGTTATGCATAATATTTGTATCTATGCATACTTATTACATATGCGTCCATTGTTGCATAGCATATATTACTGTATACTTTTTGAGAGCACATATTTCAATCTATACCTTTGTGCTTAACTCGCTTTCTTTCCTTTCCCAAGTTTAGGGTAGAACGTGCCAGGCAACCTCCACTCATGAAACAGAGGCAGCCTCCCCCTTCCCAACACGTTGAAACAGAGGCAGCCCCTCCAAGCTGAGGATTTCGAGCTGGAAAGCGCGCTGATCATCACGGTGGATGGCAACACCGAGGCACAGAACGCGCACACCGACACGGAGGACGATGGCAGCGTCTCAGTGCACATCCCACTGCAGCCATTGCGAGAGACTTTCGCTCCACTGTGGCCAGTCCGAATATGAGCGTCCTAGAGATACTGTGGGGCCGGCGGGAAAATCCCATAAATGCTTGATGAGTTGGGAATCCATATGGATGGTAGACTATTTGCCGGGAAATCATGGGACGCTTACACCTGGATGGCTCATTTGTTCCACTGGCTGGATGGTACGTGATTTGCAGCCAAATGCGAACATTCCAAGCACAAAACTCTCGACTGCTTCCCTCGCCCAGTCGACACCAGTTTGGGTCAGCCTGCGCCAATCTGGAGTTGATTCTGGCTGTGTCCAAAATCCGCAGTTTCAAATATATAACTCCAAGTGGAGATTTGCAGTCCTGTTTCACTGCTCATGTGAAGGCTCGTCCAGGCGAACTTATCCTTAGTAGAGGTCGATCGAGCTTTCCCGAAACTGGTCAGGTCATGACAATGAGAACGCCTTCCCGGTCTGCGAGAAGGCATGTTACATGTTCAACAAAAGTCTTGGACACCCATTCTTGGCTTCAAAGCTGCAAAAACAAACCGTAGAAATGAGGAACAGGGGAACACATGGGTTACAGCCATGATTCTGCAATTGAGGACCTTAAAGCCTGTTTTTTTTGTTTTGGGTGCCCGGTCTGGTCCCAATTCAGAACTGACCGATCACCCCTTCAGGAGGGTTTGGCTGAGAGGGCTGAAATGAAGAAATGAAGAAATGCATTCACCTGAGGTTTATTGCTGCTTGAGTTTGCCATCCCAACTCACAATCCCAACCATGACATCTGCAAATCATCGCCCTTTCAGATGCCAACAATAAGACCCGGGGGAGGTCTTCTGTCTCCACTCACTTGGAGATGATAAGATGAAGTAAGTGGCCTCAGTTCAATCTTCCTGTCCAAGCAGGGCGCTTTCCATGTCATGTGAATGTGAGTCTGAGGGCCCGACCAAGCAGAAGGAACCCAAATAACCACCTCCTTCCATCAGCTCCATGAGCTTCAGGACCGGGATGTTGCTTTCCCCACCCGGTGGACGGACCGACGGACCGTACTAGTAGCGTCCTTGTTGCTAGCGAATGCTAGCGATGCCTTTTGTTACTAGTAGCTTCTTGCTCCTAGTCGTAAGGCCGCAACCTACAAGTAGCGCAATGCCAGGAGCTGCTAGTAGCGTCCTTGCTCCTAGTAGCGATGCCCTTTGTTCCTAGTAGCGTCCTTGCCCCGTTCGTAGCGAGGTCCCTTTGTGTGGCCACCCACCACGAGCCAGAGCTGTTGGACGAAGCGGCGGCGACGGTGCGGAAGTGGCGCTGCAACGGCGAGTCGCCCATGGATGCACGGAAGCGACGCTTCCCTGGCGGTTTCAGAAGTGAATGTTTTTTTCTCCACGATATCTGCGGCGAATGGAGAAAAACACACTAAAAAGACAACCCCTTATCACTTATCACTTATCACCACTTAGACGTTTCAGCGAAGAGTCATCCGGATAAAACAGCACAATGGACTACCCTCCGCTTACACTACTTACAGTAGAGATCTTTATTCGAGACCCTTTGGAAGGCTTAAGGCGGGCTGCTCTATGTGGCCTCTCGTCGTTTTCAAAGGTCCAGTCGGGAACTATCATAGGCCAAGGCCCCCAGAGACATCATTGGCTGAGGCAGCTCCCGATTGAGACAATAGCTCAATGATCATGCAACCTTCGAGATAGTTGCCCCAGCCAAAGCTACATTTCAAGCCCTTGAGAGAAGGCGCACGATTGGGATCATCAGTGATTTACCCCGCAAAATCCTCCGGCAACAGAACAGCACGCCCTCAGTGTGCGCATTTTGCACATGATTCTACCTATTTATATTGTACTACTATCTTGCACTACTATCTCATTATCTCATTGTTGTCATTGTTGCCTAATTATTCCCGTTGCATCTCTTGTCTGTGTGACATAGTCACCAAAATCTCAAACAACAAAACAAACAAAAGACAAACAACAAATCCGTCCATTTCTCAGGATCTGCCCCTCAGACATTGACTTTCCTCTTTCAGCAGAAACATATATCAATATATATATATCAATATAGTAGTACTATTATCATACATGGTCTAAAGTTTCAGTTGAATTTGGACATAGTAGTAGTCAACATTTTATTCATAATACTTGGTAGTTCATTTTAACATTTACCCTGTCGTGACTCTTTTTAGAAATCTTTACTTTTATAGAACATCTGAATTCATAAATCCTTTCATTGTAGCTATTTTGTCTTGAATCTTCACCCAGTGTATCTGAAGCAGTGGAAGAAGATTCAATCAGTTGTTTGTGCTTTTTCCTTGATCATGTAACGATAGAGCTTTTTCCTGCCCCGGTGGTCGGCGGGCCTCGTTGAAGGTCTCGTGGCCGGCACCATCCTGAAGCGCAAAGCCCTCCTGGTCGAGTGGGATTCCACACGCCATCCGCTGGAGACATTGGACCTGCGGCTGGGCAAGCGGAACTGCCGGGTGCGGGGATTGCGTTTGGAAGATGGACTGAGCCTGGAAGCGTTGGGCTTAGAAGTCGGAGATGAGATCACTCACGTCGCTTCGAGAAAGATTGGGCGTTTTTTTCAACAAGTTTACTTTTTCTTCTACTTTTGTTGCCGGTCTAGTTGCATAGTACGGTTGGTAATTAGGTCAACACTCCCTAAATGGACAGAGATGCATTCCAATGGGATTCTTGACTTTCCCTGCCAGCTTTCGGTTGGCTCGGCCACTTGGTTCAACCGTGCGACAGCGGAAGTTCCCGTCGCCCATATGCCATATTCCGGTGGAATATCGAATGGGTTGGGAAATCAGGGGGCCGGCACCCATGTGGCAGGGAATCCTTCAATTTGTTTCACTCACTCAGTGTCACTCAGCCTACATGGTCTTTCTTTTTTTCCAAGCTCGACGTGGCTGGCCGGTGTGGAAGACACGCCTCAATTTGCATTGAAACGAGATGCGCAGGTCAACGATGTGAGCTTTATGACCTGGTACAAGATGCTTGGACTGTGCTAAGGGCTAGATGCCGGAGCCTAACGGATAGTGATGGGTCCCAGAAGGGATCGGACATAGCATGTCCTTTCCGGTCCCATCTTGAATTCTGTAAAGGGTGCTGTTACCTGGTCAATGAGCATCATTTTTTGATGCTGGGCTGTTATGGAAGGTGCTTAGCGAAGGTAAGCGGCCACAGCCTGCAGTAGTGTCAGAGCGTAGCATAATGTAGATAAGATGGCACAGCCACCCTCAACGCCAATCTTCAGTGTGGGATCGTGGACTCTTTGGGCCATGGCCCAGAGTAGACTTTGTCGTGTGACCGAGATCCTGCCAGATCCTATCAGGCGCATCACCGCTTCTTCCCCGCCGTTGGGTCTGCACGTGCCACTGCGGCTGCGCGTGCTGCGGCGCCCCACGGCGCCGCAAAGTGTGGAGGGGCCCCGGCTGCTGGTGGGCGCGCCACTGGAGTTGGGAGAGGCGATCATGTATGATTCCAGGCCGTGAGGGCGGCATTTCTTGACCTGGACAGGGAGGGACAGGGAGGGACAGAGAGTGGAGATTAGCCTGGAACTTGAGCTCTGGCTCCTTGACCAGCAACTGCTTCAAAGTTCCTTTACCTTGGTGCAGATTCCCATAGATATGCCAGCCATGCCAGAAAAGTGGGGAAACTGGCGAAGCCAGGATGTCTGCCTTCCATACAACGAGTGGCTTGTTGCTTCAAGAAGGCAGGTTTGAATACAGTACCGTTTTCTACGGTGACTCCAGGACGATCCATTGGGGCATGGCAAATACCGAGGACCGGGTTTGATGCACGGCGATACCGAGGGGGAAGGTGGAAGGGAAGTTCTTGACGGGTTTATCCAAGTTCTTACTGTAGCTTGCCAGCCAGCAGCCATCAGTTGAACATCGTCGAACGACCCACTGTTCCATTATAATAGCCTTGGGGAGAGGTTCACAACAACCATCATCGTGTACTGTCAACTGACAATGGATTCAAATATGCATGTGACATACTGGTGCTGGTCTAAGCCTACCAGGTCTCCAAAGGTACCAAAGACAGAAGTCTTTTCTCCTTCGATCGTTTTGGAATGTCAGCCTTGGACAACGGAGTTGCACGATCCAGGAAATCCAACAAATGCTTGGAAGGCACACGATCACAGAGATCTCAAACAACTCCATGGGATGCATTTGTTGCTCATCTCTCCCCACCCAACTTGTACACTTTCTTCTTTGCTTTGCTTCTTGTCATGAGCATGTTTTGTCAGGACTCTGCTCGGCATGTGCTCTACCTGAATTTCATGAGCTCCGACTTCAACGGCTACTCCCCCGATGGTGATGCCTTGGCGGCCGCCAGCCCCGAGTGCCTAGAGGCGCGCGAGGCCTTCCGAAAGCAGCTGAGAGCGCTTCAAAGAACTGGAGGCCTCGTGCCATGAGCCGCATCGGCGAAAGGAAACAGAGATGGCTGATGCAAGGTGCTGTCTCCTGAAGCCAATGTAACACGCCCAGTGGATCCCAGTTGCCACTATCACTAGGACTTTTAGCTGCAAATGATTCCATGCATCTACTGAAACCTAAACGAACATCAAATCATTGGGCTGCTCAGCCGAGGTTAGGTGTCAGCGGGATCCGGATGCTCTACACGCCCTCTAGCGACAACTTTCCAGCCTTACATGCCAGGGGCCCAGTGGACGCGTCAAAACAGGCCCAGTGGACAGTCAGACCCAAGTCAACGTGCGTATCACATAGTCTACCTATGGCCCATGAGGAGTTGCCCTGTAGCAGGTCGAGAGGTACCATGCGAGAGCTGGTTTTTGGGTACAAACACGATGCCCAGATGCTGCCCAATACTACCGCCCTCCCCGCCATCGGGCGAGGTGAACATGCATCACATCCTGGCGGGGCAGCCCGGGTTTGTGCAGACTTATCGACCTCGATTGATTGTCAAAGCCCTGCAGAGACATTTGTGAACCTGCGAGGTAGATACAGCAAGTCACCAAAATGATCCTGGGCGCAGGATTAAGCTCATAAACTAACTATTAGCAGCTGATGTGGTGTCCCTCACGCTCACACTCTCTCCCTCTTTCTCTCTCTGTCGGTATATAAAACATACACGTACACCGTACATGTGTATATATGTATATATATGTGTGTGTTTAGCATGTAAGGAGAACCATTGCCATTGAATTAGGGCTTGACAGCTTCGCATATATATATATATAGACTATCGCCCAGCCACCCCAAGACCATCTGACTTTCTAACAGGGCTTGGCTCTCTTCGGTGACCAAGTGTTCTTGAGGCAGACAACGACGCGTTGATGACCTTTTGGCAAGAGTCCTTCCAAGTGCAGGCAGCCGGTCACGTGAGAGATTACGCCACAATTGCATAGCTACTCACCAAAAACACTCATGTAAACCTTCTGGTTTGTCGACACATGCTCCTCGTAGAGCATGGTGACCCTGCACTGGGAAACCTTTCTCTCCAATGACTCGCGGCGTGTGTCTGTTTGTTTGCTGTTTGATATTTGGTTGATGTTTGACACCAGCATTTAATTTTAATCATGTCCATCATCATTTCTGAGACTCTTGCCCACCCTTCAGACTTGGCCCAAATTCTTCTGCGAAACTCACAGGCCCGTCACCTGGTTCCTCCCGGCCAGGAGCTTCTGTACTACGGTTTCTCTAAAGAGGAGTGCTGAGTTGTGGGGTTGGACCGGGCTGGACAAATACATGCGTGTTAATGTTGACGTAAATGAAGTCTTAACACTTTGGAGGCTATTGTTATATTGAATTCTGGTTGCCATATTAGGTTTACTTTATCATGTTTACTCTTGTGCTATTCTTTTTGGACATATGTATGTGAATATTGTTATATATATATATATTTGACGTGTATATACCTATATATACAACACGTATTAGTAGTATTTGTTCTTGCATTTTGTTAGACTTGCTTTAACCAATAAGGAACAAGGACAACATCGCAGACTTCCAACAATAAAGGTGTAAGATGTTGGCTGTTGGGCTCAGCAATACTGAGAAAGGCGCACTGAAAGGCTTTTGCAGCGGTTTGCTCATTTGTCCATCGTTGTACCAGATAGTAGTTTACAAGATGCTCCTAGTGGTTGGATAATCCACAGCGCAACAGCGGGAGCGATGATCATCCATTGGGCCAACCTAAAGCCATGAGTCCAAGCTCCATGTACCAAATGTACGATCACCCAGTGGGTGTTCGTGGTTGTTCTCCACTTAGATCTGATCCATCAGGGCTAAAGGCGTGAGAGTGCTGAGGTGGAGGGGGTGTGCTACTGTGACTGTGCTTACATGTTTGGTGTTGCCGTTGTTACCCATTCGAAGTGCCCCTCTACCAAAGGGCCTGCGTCTCTGCAGGCTGTGAAGGAGAGACTTCCCAAGCTGCCCGACAGCCCGGTGGAACTGCCAAGGGTCATTCACAATGACTTCCGAGTAGATGGCAGAAATCCAAAAATCTACCCTGAGGGATGGTCGTGCACCAAGGATCCCCACCGGGTTTATGGCGCACTGGCTTGTTCTAGGGGAATGTTGTCAGAGTTGAGAAGAGATAGAACTGGATTCAACCCTACAATCATCATTGGAACCGCGAGTTCTCACCAAATGGATCCAATACAGTCAATACCGACTCTGTGGCCATTGTCACCTCCAGCTCCTCAGCCGTCCTGTCGCCCCAGATCTCTTGGGTTCAGATTCAGATGCCTTCCTCACATCCTCAGCCCACTTCAAACCCACTTTGTCTGCCTCAAACATTCCCAGACCGGCACAGAACCGGATGGCAGTGCACGGACTTGGCACCGACCTCGGATGACCAGACTGCACCGAGGCCCGTGCAGTTCACGGACTTTGCCTACTGGCAGAAGTCGCTGTTCTCGCGAGGCCCCACTCGCGGATGGGTCGCGAGTGCCGGAGCTATGGGCGCGAGAAGTGCGGAAGGGTCCGGAGATTGGGAGGTGTGGCTGCGAGTTTTAGTGACATTTTGTGTGGTTTGAAGCGCGTGCACGGGTAGACTAGTTTGAAGAGTTATGCCCCCCAAATGAAACATGTTTGCCTTGAGGATATCAAGAACTTGCCGCCAGGGTTGGCAGAAAACAACGCTAATTATTTGCAATGCTGGGATGGCTTTGACTCAGGCCAGACAATTTATTCCAATGAGAGAGTTGCTTCCAAGAGATGCAAGAGGCTGACATCCTTAGAGTTTTGTTTTCACAGTCACTAGTTGTGATGCTCAACATGAGAATGGGATCTCCTGCTGTGCGGTGCACTCTGGCCCCTAAGTCGATCAATCTTCATGAGTCAAATGCACGGCACTCGCGACTGACAAGGAACATCACCAGCATTTGGACAGATAGGCCCTCGCAAGCTCAAAGCCCAGGGTGTTCGGTGATCCCTCCCAGTTGCTTCCTTCAATCAGTCCTCCCCCTGTGAGGCCTTCTGAAGCCGGACTTGTCCTACTGGTGCGCCGAAAGGGACTTGTGATGGAAGGGGGGGAATATGTAAAGGGCTGGTTCTAGAGCTGATCTATCTATGCGTGTTTCCTGTTAGTTTGCTTGCTGTTGATGTTTTCTCCGTGTGGTCCGTTTTCTTTGGTTTTTGGCCGTGATGCCCCTCCCGAGAGTCGTTTGGATTCGCCGCTTGAGATGCATGAGGTTGAAGTCTTCAAACCGCATCTCTCGGTGATGGTGTTGTGGAGAGCGCTCCCCAAAAGCACGGGAAGAAAGAACCTGAAGCTGGAATCCTGGGCAGGATTGACAATACATTATAAAACATTCTGTAGAAAGCAGTTGTTGTTGGATTCTGCAGGCCTTTTTCCAGGCACCTCCTGTGTGTTGCCTTTTCGGAGCCTAGTCCTTATGAGATCTTATAAGCCTTAGGCCACACACCGCTGGCCCCCTTCCGTTGCTTCCTGTCCCATCCTCGCATGCCTCGCGCGATCTCCAGGGGCCGGGAGGTCACCGACTCGCAACCTCCCACAGTGCTGGCCCGGAAGCCTAGCCAACGAAGGAGCACGGCGCTGGCCGTTGAGAAGTCGAGGTTGATCTTTGGTTTGTCATGGTCATTCTTCGGTTTGTATGTGTTTGTATTCATTTTCTGCAGGAATTCCGAATCAATTCAACCCATTTTTTTAGTTGTTCATTTTGCTAAGCGTTTGCCAGCGCTGAGAACCACAGGGTCAGACAAAGAGAAGAGGCTTTCATCCTGCAGATCTAGCATCTAAATGCATCCAAAAGGAATTCATCCACCTCTGATAACTCGACCGCGTCAGGATTTCTCAAGTAACTTTTCCAGAGCAAGAAGCGTCATTCTTTCAAGTTGAGCCATTCATAAAGAAACTTCTTGTCCTGGCAAAGAACCAGAACCATTTATTTTCCAGGATAAACCATTTCCACTATCTCGATGGTCTCGAGACATTTGGTGCCTTACATAAGGCACCTTGAGTCGCGGGTCAAGACCTCTACGGAGGGCAGCATTTTCAGCTACTGAAAAAGGTCCATCCAAATGACCGGTGAACAATCCGAAAACGGAGAAAGCGCCGACGGCTGCACCACCGCTGCTTGCGAGTCAAGACTCCTAAGGACTTGCCGTTGGATGTGCCGCGGCCACGGGTGTGGAACGTGGTGGGAGATAGCGTGGAGCCCTAGGGTTTCTTGCCGCGTGAAAAACCACTGAGGTGGGCAAACCCAGGCGTCAAAACAGAACAAGACCCGAACCAACACTCACCAGAAATGGCCTGGTGCCCAAGCGAAGAAGTCACATAGCTCCTCACGCCCTGGGGCATACGAAGAAGTGGCAGCCGTTGTTGGGGCCTGACCGAGAGCAGTGCAGTGATCCGGGGCCTAAGCCATACTTGCCGCGCACCGGCTTTTGTCGTACCCCCCTCAGCTGAATATCGTCGAACACGGTGCCAGTGCCGCCAGTCTCCACCTTTGAGCTGAACCTGAGTCCAGGTTCCAGGAAACCATTTTACACGGCATGTATGTTCAATGCAAGTTCAATGTTATTTTCTTTGGTTTTCTTATCCGTATATACTGTGTAACTGTATGCTCATCCAAGTATATAACTATACATGGCATATAGTGTGCCAAATTCAGAATATAGAAACCTTTATATATGTAAAATCAGTTTCCTCCACCTGTGCTTGCCCTTGACTGCTCTAAGGACAAAGGGATGGATTAAGTATGAGTAGTCATCGACTGCGATTGGATAGCCAGAATGCATTAGTCAATCATTAGTCATTACCACTTGCATTGTGTGAGCACAGACGCGCAATGATTTGGTGGAGGAAGACTCAAGCCTCCAGCTGATCGTAACGGCATGACGTACTCCACCCCTTGGGGCTTCTCAGAGCCCAAGAGTTCTCTCCCTTGTGGGTCGGAAGGCCAAGGTAGAAAGGAGCGTCGCTATGACGTAAAGTGTTCTATGGCCCCTCAGCAAGGGTGGAGCCCTGCAGCTGCTTTGTTCTGCTTGTACGCGTAGTTTGGAACCAGTGGTTTCAACGGTTTTTGCCAGATTGGATTGATTGAGTTGGTTCGAAAACTGGACAGGTCCATTCTTACACGTGGTTTGGATGTTCCATGCATCCACGTGCTTTGTCCGACCCCACCGGAACGGAGGTGTCAAGATCGACTTCGACCAAGAAATCATCCAACCGCACCTCGGTGGCAGCTGATCACCTCGGTGGCCCTAGTTTGGTATCCATGGAGTTCTCAAATTCAATGGGGAGTGAAAAACACTCTGCATTTGGACCGCAAGAGTCCGGTGACGGCACAGCTGCTTTTTGGTGCTGCTATGGGATATTGTGTTCTCAACTCCAAGAAGGTTCTACCTGCGGGTATTTTGCCGGTCAGCCCCAGCTATACAGCCAGGTGATTTTGGCATACAGCCCTTTTGGACTCCACTGGCCGACGATCATTGGATGTCCTCGCCTCCACGCCTCGCTGGTTTTGGACGTGAAAGTCCGTCGACGTGGCACGGAGCACCACGCGGTTTCGGACGGCACCTTGACCCGCCGCGACGGCCGAGGGTCATGGATCGCAACCCCCGTGGGGCGGCTGAGTGGGATGGAGCAGTCGGGTCTGAACGAGTCGAAGCTTATTTGGGAGGGTTTTTGGTAGCTGAAAATTGGGGAAGAGTTGCATAGCCTATGCATAGGTGTATTGTAAACATCTTCACTGCCAGAGGATCAACACGGGAGTCCATACTTCATCTGCAAGCTTGTTTGCGGGCATGCAGAAGGAAGAACTCCTCTTTCAATAAAGGCATGATTGTAGATTGCACAGTGGCCCGAGAGTTATGCCTTTTTTTAGAAAACAAATATGTACAAACGCCCCCGGGGTATAAGATGCTCGTTTATGTTTTGTCTTGTAGCGTTTCGGCTTTCAGTGTTGGATGGCCTGCGCCGAGTGCGGTCTTGGCCAGAGGACCGGTGGTTCGTTGTGCTCGGTGTGCCGGGCGGTGGAACGCATCCGCTCGCTCTGTCGAGGCGGCACTTTGCTTCGCAGTCAGGAGGCCGCAGCGCTCCTGATCCTGCGAACTGCGGTTGGCGAGCTCCAGGACTTGGCCGAGCTCGCAGCGCCTGCCCTGCAGGCGGAGCGGTTGGCAGCTGACCCACCAAGTTCAGCCGGGAGCGAGGCGGCTCCTGAGGTCAAGGCCAAGGCTGAAAAAGAACCACCTCCGTCGCCTACCACATCAGCTCCAGAGGTACCACCCGGGAACTTTGACGTGAAGCCCAAGGAGGAGCACGTTGAGGAGAAGGAGCCTGTTGAGTTGGTGCGTGAAGGTGAGAAGGAGCCTGAGGCGGCCGAGGTCAAGAAGGAGGAGCAGCCAAAGAAGCTAAAGAAGCGAAAGCACAAGAGCGGGCCATCAAGAAAGAAGGAAAAGGCAAAGCGTGAAAAGAGAGAGAGGAGAGGAGAGAAGGAGACCGGTGCTGGGAGCACTGCTGTTGACTTGAGCGACCCTGCAACGAGCACTGAGGTGAAAGATCGTGCAGTTGAGCATCACCCCAACCAGTTCAATCTACGCCCCGCACCAAAGGGGACCGTAGCCAAGCACTTCGCCCACTACGACTTGCCACCACCACCACCTGCGCCCAAGAGGCCCAGGAGTCCCGACCATCCCCCACCTAGCAGGCGGGGTTGGAACGACGGCAGAGGTGATCGACGGCATCGGCGTGAGAGGTCGAGGTCCATCGAGAGGGCACCGCATCGCAAGAGAGGCACGAAAGGTGTCAAGCACAGGGAGAGAGGCCGCTATTGGCCTCGTCACCGCTAGTGGCAGCAATGCCGCCCAAGGCAAAAGGCAAGGCGAAGGCCAAGCCCAAAGCTCGTCCGAAGGCCAAGGCACGAGCAGGGGGGCGAGTTGCACCTTTGAGGCATCGTGGACGAGGAGTTCTTCGGCGGCCGGCAGGACACCCAGGAGGAGACAGAGCTCCTGTGCCTCGGGAGCTGTGGCAGCAAGGGCACGTGCTTCAGGCCGAGGACGTACCGCTGCTCGAACTGGCCCGCGGAGTCGACGTGGTCATCCTGGAGGGCAGCTATTTCAACGCCCCTTGTCAAGTGGCAGGGACCATTCGAGGGGTGGAGGTGGACCGCGACGCGGGCCATGTGTTGCTGCAGGCCACTGGGACCGATTGCGAGGGTCTTCTTCGCCATTGTACCGGAGCTCCCAAGGGTCAGCTCCGGGGCCACCTATGTGGGGCGGCGTGTACAGGAGACAGGGTTGCAGACGACCTCATCCACATCAAGAAGATGCGTTTGGCCAAGCCCCGAGGAGAAGAAGAGCATTGGTGCAGGAACTTGGAGGCAGTGGAGACCCCAGGTGGCGACGAGCTTCTAGACCTTCGCGAGAAGCGTGCGGAGCTCGGCGAGGACAAGAAGGAGAAGAGTCGTTCACGCGGCAAGGACCGCAGCAGAGGTCTTCGGAAGAAGGAAAGAAAGAAGGAGCGAAGCCCAGGTGGCAAGAAGAAGAGAAAGAGGTCACGATCGCCCTCAAAACCCAAGCAGCGGGAGGAGCAAGGGCGAGCCAACAAGGAGAAGAAGGCAGAGGACCAGAGTTCATCCACATCGAGCATGGGCATCAGGACCGATGGCACCACGCCTCGAGGAGCGTCGGCCAAAAGCCTGCAAGCCCTTTTCGCAGGCACGGGGCTGGACAAGAGAGAGAAGATCCAGCGCCGGGTGGCCAGAAAGGCGAGACGAGTGGTCAGGAGGAAGAAGGCAGAGAGAGCCGGGAGCTCCAGCAGGAGCTCCTCGTCGGAGAGGGACGAGGAGATCGACGTCGGCCAGGAGGAGGGCTTCTTCGAGGGTGCCACGAAGGTGCAAAGGGTCGCCGAGAGCTGCCCGGGCGCTCTTGGAGCCCGCTCGTTGACCGACATGAGAAGGGTCCTCCTCCAGGGAGCGGGACTCGAGGATCAGAGCCAGCTGGTGACACCTACCGCCATACAGTATTTTCGTCAGGAGCTCCAGCGAAAGAGCAATGGGCCGGTAGCCAGGGAGCTACTGACACTATGCACAGCGGTGGACTGGCTACTCCGTGGCAGAGCCGCTCAGGCTGTCGATTGCCTCCTTCAACGCGTGAAGTCAGTGGAGGCGACCATGGCAGGGTCTCACTGGAGCGTTTCCCAGAGACTGGAAATCCCCCCTTTGGATCTTCAGACTATAGCTCCCAGGGAGGAGTTGCTGAGTGCTCAACGGGCAGCGGCGGAAGACGCCAAGACGAGGCATCTCGCCTCACTCCCGGATGGGAGGTCCCGTGGCAAGGGACAAAGCAAGAGCAAGGAGGGGACCGGCCAGGAGACCGGGAGGAGAGATCGCGATCGAGGCAAAGGCAAAGGTGCCGGCAAGCAGGACAAAGGCAAGAGGAGAGAGGAGGAAGCAAAGTAGAGGCTGGCTCCTGGGAGCGGGAGCCGTACTATGAGGGAGATTGTGGAGGCCTACGGTTGAGCTGCGCTGGGTTGGACCTTGAGCGACACGGCTCAGGGCAGGAGCAACTGGGGCATTTTTCCGATGACAAGCCAGCCGGAGTCTTTAGCACTGTGGCTGATGAGGTGTCCATGTCGGGCGCCGATCTGTTTCAAGAGTTCCCGCCAAGACCACCCTCTTTTCATGGAAGTGGTAGCGAGGGAGCTGCACCTGCACAAGTCGTGATGACAGCAGAAAAAAGTGCGAGGGATTTGGGACCTGTCGGTTCGTCGGTTTCGGAATCGGGTTCGTTCCTGGTGCAAAAACTTCTGGAGGTTCTACCGCTTCGCAGCAAGTCCACGGGTAAGGTTGACAGTTCCGCCCTGTTGCCCTTGCCCACCTCCAGACATGTGTTTATGCACCTGTGGCCTGATTGTCCGGAGCAGGTTCTTCAGTGGGTCACCTGTGTTTGCCTGTCGTTGAACTCCTTTTGGGGAGAATCGATTTTTGCTGATCGGGAACCTACGAGATGTCAGAAAAGGGCTTTGGAATTCATTAAAGAGGATGTGACACGTTTTTGTGAGTTAGGATTGCATCTGGTTGGGATTGATTGGGACCAATTCTTCATGGTACGGGGCATCGATTACAAAGGGGATGAAGTTCGGGTGGCCAGGAAGGTCAGCTGGGCCAGCATTGCTCCTGCCCTCCCGAAAGAGATCGGGGCGGTGCCACTTGAGGAGGTGTGCACTTTGGGGTGTCGGGAGTACGTTCGCTCCTTTGATGGGTTCATTAAACCCCGGGAGCAGTGGGGTAAGGTCACCAGGCCCAAAGTCATGGTGGATGACGTTGACTGGCCACGCCTGTGCACCGGCCTACTTGAGGCGGGTGTTTGCACCCTCATTGAGGAGGAGCAGGTCTTCCAGACTGACGAAGGTCCTTTGCTGAACGGGTTGTTCGCTGTTGGCAAGGAGGAGTGGACGGAAGACGGGACGGAGATTTGCCGTCTCATTATGAATTTAGTGCCATTAAATGCCATATCTCAACCCCTTTCCGGCGACGTCGACACACTACCCTCGTGGGGCATGATGAACCCATACTTTTTGCAACCTGGCGAAAACCTTTTGGTCTCTTCTGAAGATGTGAAGTGTTTTTTCTATACCATGAGGGTGCCAGATGCATGGGTCAAGTACTTGTCCTTTAACAAGTGTGTCCCTGACGTGTGCTTGCCGAAGCACATGCGGGGACAGAACGTCTACTTGGCCTCCAGGGTTTTACCCATGGGGTTCCTCAACTCCGTGAGCCTTGCACAGAACGTGCACAGGAACTTGGTCAAATGGGCGTGTCATGAGGGCGATCAGGTGCATCATGAGGAGTGCGAGCTGCGCAAGGATAGGCCGTTCACGGTGTCGTCTTCGGCATGGAGGGTTTACTTGGACAACTATGACCTTCTGGAAAAGGTCCAGGCGACAGGAATGGTTGAGCTCGAAGGGACTACGCCCGTAGGTGTCTTAGCACTGAGATCAGAGTATCTTCAGTGGCAGGTGCCTCGGAACGCCAAGAAAGGTGTTTCGCGCTCGGCCCATTGTGAGCTTCAGGGTGCAACAGTTGATGGTGTGCGGGGTCTGGCCTTCCCGAAGGAGTCCAAGCTTAGTAAGTATTACAGCCTGGCACTGAAGCTGCTGCACCAGCCATTGGTCACTCAGCGACAACTTCAAGTGGTGTGCGGGGGCTTCGTCTACTTTGCCATGTTTAGGCGGCCGACCCTGGGAGCCTTGAATGCTGTCTGGCGCTTCATCGAGAGCTTCAATGAGGGAGGTCCGGTGCATCGTGCACTGCCGCCTGAATGTCGGTTGGAGCTCTTGCGTTTTATGGGGATGCTGCCGCTCATTCGCATGAACTTCAGGCTTGAGGTCGATGCCATGGCCACTTGCAGCGATGCTTCAACTACCGGGGGAGGAGTTTGCTGCTCTCGAGGGCTTACACCGGTTGGGCTCATGGCCGCTAGCGGTGAGTTGAGGGGGCGCCTACCTCGGGCACCGTCGGAGCACATGGTGCTCGTGGTTGGGCTCTTTGACGGGATCGGAGCGCTAAGGGTTGCTGTCGACCTTCAAGGTGTTCAGGTCGTGGGGTACATCTCAGTCGAGAAGAATCCTCAAGCTCGGCGTGTGGTGGAGTCTCACTATCCTGGTGTGGAGCACCTTGAGGATGTAGCGGGCATCGCCCCTGATGTGATCAAGGGTTGGAGTCTGCGGTACTCGCAGTGTAGCTTGGTCCTGGTAGGCGCCGGACCGCCGTGTCAGGGCGTGTCTGGGCTCAACACTGACCGTCGGGGGGCCCTCAAAGATGAGCGCTCTTGTCTGTTTACCCACGTCCCGAGAATCAGGGATGAGCTTCGGATGGCTTTCCCATGGGCGGCTGTCCATGTCCTGATGGAATCGGTAAGCTCCATGGATGCCAAGGATCGTGATATCATGAGCCAGGGCTTCGGGGGACAACCGGTGCAAATCGACGCGGGCGAGATGACTTGGTGCCATAGGCCACGACTCTACTGGACCACATGGGACTTAGTGGAGGAGCCGGGTGCGACACGGTCGGCGGGAGCGGAGGTCAGCTCCTGGCACCTGGTGGCCGGGCAGGAACTTCGGCAGGTGGTGGCACCTGGATGGTACAAGGTGGTGGATACCAAGGCTTTTCCTACATTCACCACGTCACGACCGTCAGCGGTGCCGGGGCGGAAGCCTGCAGGTTTGAGGCACTGTTCACCCGGCGCTTTAGAGAGGTGGCAAGCCGATTTGCATCGCTTCCCGCCATACCAATATCAGGAGGTGCATTGTGTTGTCAATAGGCGAGGCGATCTCCGTATTCCTAGTGTACCGGAACGGGAGTTGATGCTGGGGTTTCCTCTGGGATATACCACCAACTGCGTGCCGAAAGGTGAGCGCAAACTGTCCTCGACCAACGACGTGCGTCTAACGCTCCTAGGTAATAGCTGGAGTGTACCTGTGGTTGCTTGGTTGCTGAACCAACTGTTGCGGCAGCTGGGCATGGCACCACCCATGTCGCCCCAGGACATCGTGGACCTCTGTGAGCCGGGGGCAGCAGCATCCCTTCAGGAGCGGCTGATTCGCTTGCCTCTGTCGCACGCAAGGGGAAGTTTTGGTATGCAGGGAGCTCTGGCATGGAAGCTGGCAAACTTGATCAGCCTCAAGGGGGAGGACATCCTACTGACCACGCCTACTACCCAGATGACCCGTTTTCATCGTTTGAGGGCCTCAGTTCCGGCTCGCCTCTGGCGTTGGAAGGTTGTATCTGGGTGGCGGTGGACCCGTGGCAAGGAACACATAAATTCCCTGGAGATGAGAGCCATCCTCAACGCAGTCCGCTGGCGCATTGAACAGCAAGGGCATCTTGGCTGCCGCATGTTGCATCTCACGGATAGCTTGGTCTGCCTCCATGCGCTTACGAGAGGACGAACCAGTTCTCGCAAGTTGCGTGCGACTATCTCCCGCATTAACGCGCTTCTGCTCTGTAGCAATGCTCAAGTCATCTGGGCCTATGTGGCCACGGATAGTAACCCCGCCGATAAACCCAGTCGTTGGGGTGGGCGGGTGCGCACTAAATACCGGAATGCCTAAGAGGCACCTTGAAGCAGCTACAGCAGAAGAGCGCGGGAAGATACGTCGGCGGTTGGGCACATTGCGGCAACTTACGGTGCAGCCAAGCACTAGGAAGCGATATGATAAAGCTCTGCAAGGGTTTTTCTCTTTTTTGACTGCTGAAGGACTGGACTTGCCCAAGGACAAGAGACAGTTGGACCCAATTGTTTGTGACTACTTGGAGACTCTATGGTTCGAAGGCAAGGGCCGTGCGCAGGCCTGCGATACCCTCGCAGCCTTGCAGGACTCACAACCTGGGTTGCGGAATAACCTGCCGGGAGCGTGGCGGCTCCTGCGTACTTGGCAGGCTAACGAGATCCCCTCTCGTGCGCCGCCGCTGCCTGAGCATATAGTACTCGCCATGGCCGGATGGAGCCTTTTCCATGGCTGGGTCTCGTTTGCTTTGTCACTTTTAATTGGATTTTACTCGATGTTGAGGACTGGGGAAATCCTGGGTTTAGCCTCCTCCCATTTTCAATGCACTGAGGGACAGCTACAAGCTCTTATCTCCTTGGGTCTCACCAAGGGAGGTAAACGGCACGGCGCCGCCGAGAGCGTTGTCCTCGGGTTGGAGCCTGTGGTAAGGTTTTTGCGCGCCTGGAAGAAGGTGGCCTCTGCGAGTACCCGTCTGACCCCGGCACCAGCCAAATGGCGTGCCCTTTTTAACTCCTGTTTGGCCGGCCTCGGCATAGAGCATTTGGGCTTCAGGCCCTACTCCCTTAGGAGGGGTGGGGCCACATATTGGTTCCAGAAACATCACAATTTAGATCGTATCCTCTTACAAGGACGATGGCACACTCAAAAGAGTGCCCGTATATACCTGAACGAGGGCCTCAGTGTCCTGGCACAGATGAATGTGCCCAAGAATGATCCGAAGTTGAAACCTTTTCTGACTGTTTATAGCAATTTTATCCAGTCCCCGAAATTCTCCACGCTTGAGCCTCCGTCCAAGGGCGGAAGGACAGGGGGCCGTGGAAGGGGCACAAAGGACAAGTCCAAATCCGCAAGGAAAAGAGACTAAGAGGGTT